GGGAGGAGGGGGAGGAACCTGAGCCACCCCTGGAACGTGGACTCCCCTGAGGGCAGGCCTAGGCCGGCCACCAGGGCTGGGGGAGCATCCTGTCCCTCCCATTTCCCTTCCAGTGAGCGAGTCTTTATTTCATTCCCGTTCCTCTTACCGCCACAGACTCTCAGGACAAGGACCTGGGCTTTTTCTGTCCGGTGCAAATGTGCCGAACTCTTGCTGATGAGGGAATAGAGGAGCAAGCTGACGGGCAGTGTAGAGATTGCTCTTGCTGCCCCGTGAGGGGTGGGTTCGGGGGGGCAAGGTGAGCATCAGGTGCTGATAGAAGCTGTGCAGCCGCAGGGGAGGGGCACGCCTGCGCTGGCAGAGCTGCAGGGATGGGGAGACAGGATTTCCAGACGTTGGGTAGAGCTCACAGAACATGGGTGGCTGGTGACTCAAGGTTTCTCACCTGGCTGCCCGGGTAGGTAGGTGGATGGTCACTGAGACAGGACACAGGAGGAGGCGCGGGTTTCGAGAGGAGATTGTATGTCCGGTGCTGGGTGTCTGGGCCTGGGACGTCCAAGAGGCCATGTTGAGTCGGCACAAAGCCCCAGGTGTCATCGCCCAGGCTCGGGGAAGGAAGGAAGGCAGTCTGGCTGGAGCTTCCAGGTAGATGCAGATGGGCAAAGCCAGGCAGGGGTGTGGGCTCAGGGCAGCGAGGGAGTCGGGAAAGGAGAACGGGTTTCCAGGGCGGACGGGGGAGGAAGCTGGATCGCAGCGGGCTGAGGAGAGAGGGCAACTTTCCAGATGTTTGTGGGGAGGTTGGAGAATGATGGAGCAGCCCCAGAGGCTTCTGGGAGGTTTTTTCTCAAAGTCAAGTAGACTGGAGGCCACTTCAGTGCTGGTGGGGGAGCCACTGAGGTCCCTGAGGAGATGGGACAGAGCAGGACGAACAGCACCCCAGGAAGAAGGGCAGGTGCAGAGGACAGGGGGCCGTGCAGGTGCAGAGCCACTGCAGCCCCTTCTCGCGTCTCTGGAGAGAGTTCCTGGCGGGGGCAGGGAGTGATCTGTCGCTCACCACCGGAGCCGTTCCCGGGCTCTGACCACTGGCTGTGCCATCAGAGGGTGCCGCTGTCGGGGGAGTGGGGTGTCTGGGAAGCTCTGGCCCCTCAGTTCTGCTGGAGCCCGTGTCCCGTCTGTCCTCTCGCCTTCATGTCCCTGAACTGGCCCATTCCTGACCATTGGGCACAGCGGTGGCCATTTTGGAAGCCCAGGCCAGGAGTCTCCTTTAAAATGGCCAGTGTCCCTCCTAGCGTGGCCTCTGCCCAGCCCCGGCCACACTGTTTTCCTGCTGGAAGGACAAGGTCCTCACCGGGAATGAGTGTCCTCTCCCAAGGACGGCGGGGAGAGCAGAGCCTCTGAGGTGGAGTCCAGGTCCGCCCAGAGGCCCCACTCAGCCGATCCCAGCCGAGAGCCACTGTCCGTTCAGCCTCTCATTCTGCAGCTGGGGACACTGAGGCCCAGGAGGGGAAGGCTTTGCCGGGCCACCGAGTGCCGTGTTTGGCAGGACGGAGCTGTGGCGGGGCTCTGAGTCAGCAGAAGCAAGGCTGCCCCTTCCTGGTTCAGCACCGTGCATTTCACTTCCCCAGCCTTGGCCGCCTCGGCAGGACAATGGGGACAGGGGCAGAGCAACCTTAGAGCCGGCAGGATTCCTCCTGTGCGTAGTTACCTCTGAAGTGGGTCATTTTATTTATTTATTTTTTTTTTGTCTTTCATATAATAACAATTTCTTTATTATTTTTTTATC